ACGGCCCTACCACTCGGTACCGTCGGATCACTAAGACCGACTTTCGTCCCTGCTCGACTCGTTAGTCTTGCAGTCAAGCCCCCTTGTGCCTTTGCACGCCCTAACCGGTTTCTGACCGGCCTGAGGAGACCTTTGTGCGCCTCCGTTACCTTTTAGGAGGCGACCGCCCCAGTCAAACTACCCACCTGAGAGGGTACGAGGACTGGCTAACAGTGTCTTCGTGAGGGCGCCAATACCAGAAGGGTGGTATCTCAAGGTCGACTCCCCCCCTTCCGCAAAAGGGGCTTCCACATCTCCCACCTATCCTGCGCAGCTGGAACCAGCGCCCACTCTCAAGCTGCAGTCAAGCTTCATAGGGTCTTTCTGTCCAGGTGCAGGTTGTCCGCATCTTCACAGACACTTTTATTTCACCGAGTCTCCCTCCGAGACAGCGCCCAAGTCGTTACGCCTTTCGTGCGGGTCGGAACTTACCCGACAAGGAATTTCGCTACCTTAGGACCGTTATAGTTACGGCCGCCGTTCACCGGGGCTTCGGAAGAGAGCCGTGCCCGCAAGGGCGCACACCCCTCCTTAACCTTCCGGCACTGGGCAGGCGTCAGCCTCCATACGTCGTCTTTCAACTTAGCGGAGACCTGTGTTTTTGGTAAACAGTCGCTCGGGCCTGGTTATTTCAACCCTTTAGGCACCCCTTCTCCCGAAGTTACGGGGCCAATTTGCCGAGTTCCTTAGAGGGAGTTCTCTCGAGCCCCTTAGTATGCTCTACCCACCTACCTGTGTCGGTTTACGGTACGGGCACCAAACGTTTTGACTCACACAGGCTTTTCTTGCGGAGCAACCGAACATACCAGCTACACCACAGACTGGCTGTCCTAGTTGCTCCGGTCACCTGCGGTCACAGCAAGGTGGTGAAAGAATGTTGACTTTCTGCCCATCGACTACACCCTTGGTCTCGTCTTAGGCCCCGACTAACCCTACGTGGATGAGCCGTAGCGTAGGAAACCTTAGGTTTACGGGGCGCTGGATTCTCACCAGCGTTTTCGCTACTCAAGCCGATATTCTCACTTCTGCCTTGTCCACTGTAAGGCTTTCGCCTCAGCTTCTACCTAACACAGAACGCTCCCCTACCGGTAGTTGTGTCAGTGCCCAACTTCCCCACAGCTTCGGCAGACCGCTTGAGTCCCCTACATTTTCGGCACAGGGATGCTCGACCAGTGAGCTATTACGCACTCTTTAAAGGATGGCTGCTTCTAAGCCAACCTTCTGGCTGTCCTTGCGTCCCCACCACCTTTTACACTGAGCGATCATTTAGGGGCCTTAGCTGGTGGTCTGGGCTGTTGCCCTCTCGGCACTGGAGCTTATCCCCCAACGCCTGACTCATCCCATGCTTGAAAAGACTGGTATTCAGAGTTTGCCTCGATTTGGTACCGGCTAGGCCGGCCCGCACCGAAACAGTGCTTTACCCCCAGCTTCTTCATGGGTGGCTGTGCCTCAACACATTTCGGGGAGAACCAGCTAGCTCCGGATTCGTTTGGCATTTCACCCCTAACCACACCTCGTCCGATGATTTTGCCGCATCAACCGGTTCGGGCCTCCGCCTAATATTACTTAAGCTTCACCCTGGGCATGGTTAGATCATCCGGGTTCGGGTTCATGGTGGCTGACCAAATCGCCAGCAAGGCTCGCTTACACTCCGGCTCCGACTTTTATGCCTTAACCTTAGCCAGGCACCATGACTCACCGGCTCATTCTTCAACAGGCACGCAGTCAGGCCACACATCACGGCCCTTCTACTCACTGTAGGCACAGGGTTTCATGTTCTTTTCACTCCCCTCTCGGGGTTCTTTTCACCTTTCCCTCACGGTACTGGTGCACTATCGGTCACCCACGAGTATTTAGCCTGGCAAGGTGGTCCTCGCTGATTCAAACGGGCTTTCCCATGCTCCATCCTACTCGAGCAGTCACAAGCTCTGACCACTCTCATCACCCCCGCTTCTATGGAAGGTTTGTTGGCAGGCAACGCATTGTCTTTGTCGCCTTGGTCCCACCGTTTCGCTCGCCACTACTCAGGGGATCGTTGTTACTTTCTGTTCCTCTGGGTACTAAGATGGTTCAGTTCCCCAGGTTCGCTCTAGCCCCCTCTACAGGGGGTAGTTAAAGGGTTTCCCCATTCGGATACCTCCGTCTCACTGCCTCTAACCGGCTCTACGGAGCGTTTCGTCGGCTGGCACGTCCTTCTTCGCCTGTGGGCGCCCAGGCCTCCACCCTGAGCCTCTAAGACCTTGGATCAAGATCAACCTCTAAAGGTTCGGGCTAAGTCTTCCGTACATCTGTGATTCAATCCAACAAGTTAATTTGGACGACACTGGATAGCATTCTATACCTGCAGGAAGTCCATAAAAGCATCGCGACCCGAGCCACGGTTGCAACTGTGCCCAGATGCATCAGCATGGCACCATCTCCATCGATGCAGAACACTTGTCGGCTGGGCTGGCCAGTAGCGATGCCAAGAGCGATTGCGCTGGCGTGTCCCATTGACCCAACCGTGAGGAAGTCGCTGGAGTGGTCCTGCCCACGGCTTTCACGAAGTTCAAACAGTTCTCGAGAGGCCATACCAGTAGAACACACAACCGCATCCTGCTTCTCCGTGTGCCGAGCGATCAAATCCAAGGCACTCTCGCGTGTCATGTTGTACGCGAACGGGTTGTCATCTACGATCGATTTCAAGGTGGGGGACTGGTATGGCTCGAAACACTGCCTTTTGATCAAGAACGCGTAGGGCGACGGACGGACCTTCATCGAGCGCAAGGCGCCATCCAGAGCGTGACGAGCACCTTCAATGGAGTTTGGCAAGACTTCAAACGGGACACCAACTTCGGTGAGAAGACTGGTCATTTTCTTGCCTTGCACAAGATGCTGCGGTTCGTCTTGCTTGCCCGGCTCTCCTCGCCACCCAATCATCAACAGCATGGGCAGCTCGTAGACTTCTGGGTCACACAAGGACAGCAGCGGATTGATGGCATTCCCAAAACCAGAGTTCTGCATGTAAACCACTGGGATCTTGCGCGTGCCCAAGTAGTAGCCGGCCGCGATACCAATGGCAGCTCCTTCGTTTGCCGCCAACGTATGGTTGCCAGGAGCGGCGTGATCGTGCACAGAAGTCCTTCAGTAGCGAATCAGGCACTCCCGTGAAGAAGTCGAGACGACGTTCTGTCAGCATGTTGAAGTATTCCTTTGGCGAAAGGCCGCCGCGACTTGTCTGGTTCATTTTCTTTATTTCTTCCATTTTCCACAGATATTCTTTTTCAATCTAATCTACCATACGCAATGGCAGACACCTGAGGCCAGTCCAAAACAGATACAGGAGCTGGGTAAAGCTCCGCCTGCCCCACTACCTTCCAATGATACATGTGATCCAGCAGCACCTTCCAGTACAGCTACCTTGTTACGACTTCACCCCAGTTACCAGCCCTTCCTTCACCTTCTCAACGAAAGCTTCGGGAAAGGCCAACTCCCGTGGCGTGACGGGCGGTGTGTACAAGGCTCGGGAACGTATTCACCGCCGTATTGCTGACCGGCGATTACTAGCGATTCCGGCTTCACGTGGGCGAGTTGCAGCCCACGATCCGAAGTGGGGCCGGGTTTAGGGAAACCTTCCCTCGCGGAAAGGCACAGGTGACGTGTTTCCTGCCAACCATTGACCCGACCATTGTAGCACGTGTGTAGCCCAGGGCATAAGGGGCATGATGACTTGACGTCATCCCCACCTTCCTCCAGCTCCGAACCGAAGTTCGGTATTTGGCAGTCTCTGCAGCCTAGCGGCTCCAGATGGGGGTTGCGCTCGTTGCGGGACTTAACCCAACACCTCACGACACGAGCTGACGACAGCCGTGCACCACCTGTGTGTGCCCGTAGTGCGGAACCCCGTTAGGAGCGCGCAGGCACCATGTCAAGCCCAGGTAAGGTTCTTCGCGTTGCATCGAATTAAACCACATGCTCCACCGCTTGTGCGAGCCCCCGTCAATTCCTTTGAGTTTCACCCTTGCAAGCGTACTCCTCAGGCGGGGCACTTATCGCGTTAGCTGGGATACTGCGCGTCCCACGCGCAGCATCGAGTGCCCATCGTTTACGGCTAGGACTACTGGGGTCTCTAATCCCATTCGCTCCCCTAGCTTTCGTCTCTCAGTGTCAGGCGCGGCCCAGTGGGGAGCTTTCGCCTCCGGCCTTCTCCCACGTATCTAAGCATTTCACTGCTCCTCGAGGGATTCCCCCCACCTCTACCGGCCTCCAGTCTGATAGTCTCCACATGCCCCACAGAGTTAAGCCCTGCGTTTGGACAGCAGACACACCAAACCACCTACAGACGCTTTACGCCCAATAAATCCGGATAACGCTTGCATCCCCCGTCTTACCGCGGCTGCTGGCACGGAGTTAGCCGATACTTGCTTCCCGGGCGGTCAGTCTTCCTGTGCCCGTGCAAAGAAGTTTACGACCGAAAGTGGCCTTCTTCCTTCACGCGGCGTCGCACTGTCAGGCTTGCGCCCATTGCAGAAGATTCCCCACTGCTGCCTCCCGTAGGAGTCTGGGCCGTGTCTCAGTCCCAATGTGGCCGGCCGCCCTCTCAGGCCAGCTACTGATCCTCGCCTTGGTAGGCCATTACCCGCACCAACTAGCTAATCAGCCGCAGGCCCATCCCCAGACACTCTAGCTAGCAGCTAGAACTTTCCAAAGCACTTCCTGCGCCTATAGGGGATTACCGAAGGTTTCCCTCCATTATACCCGTATCTGGGGGCAGGTGCCCACGTGTTACTCACCCGTACGCCATGGGGCCGAAGCCCCATACGACTTGCATGTGTTAGGCACGCCGACTCGCGTTCATCCTGAGCCAGGATCAAACTCGCACTAAAACTTTCCCGAAACAGGCTAGAACCGTCTGAAGCCGGAACTTCTCTTTTCATCTCTACCATCTATACGCTGTAGCAATACGTCGTCGTGTTGTTTTTGAGCGGGGAGTGGGGTCGAACCACTGACCTCCGGGTCATGAGCCCGATGAGCTGTACCGCGCTGCTCTACCCCGCCGGAAAGCCGCGAGGGGGCACTACTAACCTGCGTTAGTTTGTCCCTTTACCCTAATCTGGGACAGGTAGGGCGAGAGGGAGGGTTGGGCCCCAGGTGGGATTTCAACCCCAACTGCAACTATAGAAACCATGGGCTCTAACCTCATGGCTGTTCTTCTTACACCCTCCTTCACCATGCAGAACTTTTTCCATCGTTTGGCTAGCAAGCTAACGGCCTTTGAGGCAACTAGACCCGAAGGGGGCATAGCTCAGTTGGTAGAGCGCGGCCTTTGCAAGGCTGAGGTCAGGGGTTCGAATCCCCTTGCCTCCACACTTACAGGGGTTGGTAACTCAACGGCAGAGTACTCGGCTTTTAACCGAACGGTTCTGGGTTCGAATCCCAGCCAACTCAAACCCAACACTTAAACACTTAGGGGCACCGAAGACAAAACGGAGGGCAAGGGGGTTTGGTTTAGCAAGGTTCTATTCTAGCCTCTAGCCAATGGCGCATAAAAAAGGTGCAGGAAGCACTAAGAACGGCCGCGACTCCAACCCCAAGAGACTGGGAGTGAAGCGCTTCGCTGGGCAGTGGGTTTTTCCAGGCCAAGTTTTGGTTCGACAGCGAGGCGCCGTGTTTAAGCCTAGCCTGCCGCAAACCCAGCGGGGGCGCGACTTTACTATTTACTCTAACAGGCCCGGCTTTCTTTCCTTTAAGGGCCGAAGACTGGAGGTGAGTTGTGCCCCAAGACCGTCTCTCTTGGTGTGTAAGTTCGCCCATCTGTGGGCTATGGAGTAAACTAACTAGCTAGGCTACATTACTGATCAGAAGCCACACAAGCACATGAAACTAGCTGTCTACGGGAAAGGGGGCATTGGGAAGTCTACGACCAGCTGCAATATCTCAGTAGCTCTGGCCCGACGAGGCAAGCGAGTGCTTCAGATTGGGTGTGACCCAAAACACGACAGCACCTTTACCCTCACTGGATTCCTAATCCCCACTATTATAGACACACTGCAGGCCAAAGACTACCATTATGAGGATGTATGGCCAGAGGATGTCATACACCGCGGATACGGCGGGGTAGACTGCGTGGAGGCGGGAGGACCCCCAGCGGGAGCCGGTTGCGGAGGCTATGTGGTGGGAGAAACGGTTAAACTCCTGAAGGAGCTCAATGCTTTTGACGAGTACGACGTTATTCTGTTCGATGTGTTGGGTGATGTGGTCTGCGGGGGATTCGCTGCTCCCCTTAACTACGCAGACTATTGCCTCATTGTCACGGACAACGGGTTTGATGCTCTATTTGCGGCCAATCGTATTGTGGCCTCTGTCCGGGAAAAAGCACGTACCCACGCTCTGCGCCTGGCCGGGCTTATAGGAAACCGGACTGCTAAACGGGACTTGATTGACAAGTACCTTGAGACTGTTCCGGTGCCCGTTTTAGAAGTCCTACCTCTCATAGAAGATATCAGAATCTCTAGGGTCAAAGGAAAAACCATCTTCGAGATCTGCGAGCAAGAGCCAGCCCTGGTTTCGGTCTGCGGCTACTACCTTAATATAGCCGACCAGCTTCTAGCCCAGCCTGAGGGGGTAGTGCCGCGCGAAGCGGCAGACCGCGACCTTTTCAGTTTACTGTCCGATTTTTACCTAGCCCCTTCCTCTGTTTCTCGTCCATAGCCTGGGGCAGAGGGTGTCGATGAGCGAGCATTTCCTGCCCAAGTTTTCGTTTTTGGTCCACCTTTCTTGACATGTTGGGCATTGCCACCACAGAAAGCCCAAGGCTGAATTTTGAATGTGAGACAGGCAATTACCATACGTTTTGTCCCATAAGCTGCGTGGCCTGGCTGTACCAGAAAATTGAGGACAGCTTCTTTTTGGTGATTGGGACCAAGACCTGTGGCTACTTCTTACAAAATGCCTTAGGGGTGATGGTTTTTGCAGAGCCTCGGTATGCGATGGCCGAGCTCGAAGAGGGCGATATATCCGCCCAGCTCAACGATTTCGAGGAGCTTCTTCGGCTTTGCACACAGATAAAGCATGACCGCTCTCCGGGCGTGGTGTTTTGGATTGGAACTTGTACAACGGAGATCATCAAGATGGATCTGGAGGGCCTAGCCCCGCGGGTCGAGGCCGCCATCGGTGTCCCTATAGTAGTGGCCCGTGCTAATGGATTAGATTATGCGTTCACCCAAGGAGAAGATACGGTGCTCGCTGCTCTAGCGCAAAGAGCTCCGCGCAGCGAAGGCAGCACGGCCTCTCCTTCCCTGGTTCTGTTCGGTTCCGTAGCCGAAACCACCGCTCAGCAGCTTCAGTCAGAGTTAGCCGCATTAGGCATCCAGCCCGCCTGGCTGCCCACTCCGCGCTTTGCGGAGTTACCTGCCCTTAAAGAAGGCGACTACGTGTGTGGGGTGAGCCCCTACCTGAGCCGGACCGCCACCACTCTTATGCGCCGACGGAAGTGCCGGTTAATAGTGGCCCCGTTCCCCATAGGACCTGATGGAACTAGAGCCTGGCTGGAACGAATTTGCGAGGTCTTTGGGGCCCCTGCACACGGGCTTGTTCAGAGGGAACAACAGGTTTGGTCAGTGTGCCGCCCTTATCTTGATTGGACGCAGGGGCGAAGCGTTCTGTTCACGGGGGACAATATGTTAGAAATCGCTCTGGGCCGGTTTTTGACCAGGTGCGGCATGAGGGTATGCGAAATAGGGATCCCCTATATGGACCAACGCTATCAGGCCGGCGAGCTGGCGCTTCTAGAGCACACTTGCCGGACGATGGGGGTCCGTCTCCCGAAGATTGTTGAAAAACCCGACAACTCGAACCAGCTCGATCGGATTCGCGACCTTCAGCCCGATTTGGTTATCACAGGAATGGCCTTGGCCAACCCACTGGAGGCGCGAGCTATTAAGACCAAATGGAGCGTGGAATTCACCTTTGCCCAAATTCACGGGTTCCCTCACGCAGGAGATTTGCTATGGTTGGTTGTCCGACCGCTTTTACACGTGGCGCCCAAGCGACACTCAAAAGTCTAGATAATTAAAAAGGGATGGGCAGTTAGCTCAGGTGGTAGAGCACCTGCCTTACAAGCAGGGGGCCACTGGTTCGAATCCGGTACTGCCCACCTCGGGCCCATCGTCTAAGGGAAGAAGACAGAAACCTTCTAAGTTTCCAATGTAGGTTCGAGTCCTACTGGGCCCAAGACGGACGTGGCGGAATTGGTAGACGCGCCAGATTTAGGTCCTGGTAGGGATCCCTGTGAGAGTTCGAGTCTCTCCGTCCGTATGCCCTCCCGCCATCGTGCAGGGGTTGAGGTCAAAGAGGGGGGCCTTGGCTGGTGTAGCTCAACCGGTAGAGCGACTGATTTGTAATCAGTCGGTTGGGGGTTCAAGTCCCTTCACCAGCTCGGCTTCCACATGGAAAGCTGCCTGTACTTTCTCCGCGCTGCTCTGGTTGTTAGTGCATACGGTAGCGGGGAATCAAAGAAGTGTTTGCTAGCTCAGATGGTAGAAGGAGGTCGCGTGCCTTTATGGTTAATTGCTTGTATAGGGGGTATGGCCGTTTTAACGCTTTTGGGCTTGTTTATCTATGGTTCTTACTCGGGGCTAGGGTCATCGATCTAACCTGGAGAACCACAGCGGGTCCAAAAAAAGATTTTACCAAAAAATAGAAAAAGATAGACCGACATTAGGGGTCCGGTGAGAAGCCAAGCTCGATACACTTAGACAAATAAACACAGATGGAGGCTGCAGTCTATAGCTTGTTACTACTGAGCACCCTTCTGGTGCTTTTCTTAGCCGTGTTCTTCAGAGAGCCGCCACGCATCTTAGGTCAATAAAGTGAAGCACGGCAGTAAACATGATTACTAGAAATAACTTTTACACGCCTTCCCGGGTGTCCATAAAGATTCGTGGTTCTCGTGAGTGGGCAACTCTTCTTTGGGCCCTTGGGCTGTGTGCGGGGGGAATCTTCTTTTTTAACAAGGGCTTAGCCTCTTATTTCGGCGACGAATATCTAGTTTACGTTCCTCAAGGTATTTTTCTTGTTTTTTACGGAACTCTGGCGTTGATTCTGTCCGGATTCTTTCTGGCGAGCGTTCTGTGGGACGTAGGATCAGGAACTTGCACGATGGACAGAAACCGTGACTTGTGTAGATTGTTGCGATTAAACTTTCCTGGCAAATATCGCTTTTTCGAGATGACATTTCTTCCTTCCGGAGTCCAAAGCGTTAACTTGGATGTACAATCAGGACTTTTCCCGAGGCGAGTCTTGGCTTTGACTATAAGCTCTAACAGCATTCCCCTTAACTCAAATCAAGAGCTAGTGAAGATAACCACCATGGAGACACTAGCGCTAGCTTTAGCAAAATGGTTAGACGTGGGTTTTGAATGGCGAGAGTCAGGCTAGTTTCACTGAACAAAGAGATTCCAAAATGTGGACAGAAGTCTCCCGTCTTGCGTTTGTCCCAAAGCAACGACCTCACTAAAATTAAGAAGTGACCGGTTTTAACTATGTTAAAATGATGAACGTAGTCCATTCAAGCTCTGGAGCTAAGTTTGGTGTGAGGCCCTAGACGATTCCATAACGTTATGTCAGGAGGATCCACAGGAGAGCGACCATTCTCAGAAATCATCACTAGTACTAGATACTGGATTATTCACAGTGTCACTATTCCATCGCTATTTTTGTCTGGCTGGATTTTTATCAGAACGGGACTGGCGTACGACTTGTTCGGCACCCCTCGCTCCACTGACTATTTCTTACCAGAAAGACAACAAGTTCCCCTAGTAAACGATAGATTTAGTGCAAAACAGGAACTAGAGGATTTAACTAGAGATCTTTAGAAGATCCCCAGTCGACTCATAGAAAACCACTAATAGTGCAAGAGCTTTCTACCTGTGTGGGTTATTACATTTAAGCGATACATCTCAATGGTTAACGGATCTACCACTCCAGCTAAAAATCTTCCTATCTCTTATCCAATCATAACGGTCCGATGGCTGGCAGTACACGCTTTAGCTATTCCTACCGTATTCTTTTTTGGTGCTCTCACCGCCATGCAGTTTATTCAGAGATAGTCAAGTAGCCGTCCATATAGAAGGTGACAGTAGTGTTTTATTTGTTATTGTACTGAAAAGTTCTATTTAACCTATGAAAGAGAGCATTTTGTTTGGTATTGTAATTGGCATGTCTAGCGTTTCGTTAGCTGGGCTATTAGCTACAGCTTTAGCTCAGTACGTTCGTGGGAAACAACTGCAGACAGCATACGAGCAACCAGAAAGGCCCAATGCTTCCCCCTAGTACGCGAACGTAAGGTGTATCTTTGCATATCTTGTTTATCTAGCAGCTATCTTTCATTTAATCCTCGTGTTCCTCAAACGGATCTTTTAAATATGCCGAACCTGGTCCAAAAGCGGCGTAGCCGGCATATAAAACAACCCCTAAAAGAGTTCCACAGGTAAAACACACTAAGATTTTAGTTGTATCCATCCTCCAATTTTCAGGCATTGAAGCGACGATTCATATCTTAACTCAGAGTGTAGTGCTGTAAATAGACCAGCTTCTTCCTTAACGACCTCATTTATATATGGCCAAGAGCACGCGTCTAACGGAAATTTTAAAATCCTTCAATTTTAATCAGGCCGCGGGAGAAGTAGAGCCTGGATGGGGGCCTGCCCCTTTAATGCTAGTACTGATTTTGTTGTTTGTGGTGTTTTTGTTTATTCTGCTGCAAATCTACAACTCAACTCTATTGCTAGACGGTGTGGAAGTAGAGTGGAAAACCATTTAGTTCTAGTTTCCTTAGGATTTAGCATGAGACTGTAAAGGGCAATGGAGAGCCGACCAAAGAAAAGGGTGAGAAGGACATAGAAATCGATCTTTGTTGATATATGGCAACAACAAAATCTAGACGAAGAAGACTTCGTTTCGGCGGGGGAGAAGTCGAAACTTTGGGAGACGGAATCGCTCGCGTAAAAGGCATCAAAAACGTTCAGGCTGGGGAAATAGTCATTTTTCAAGATGGGACCAGAGGCCTGGCCTTAAATCTTGAAGAAAACAATGTAGGAGTGGTTCTTCTAGGAACTTCTTATAGGTTATCCCAAGGCAGCAAAGTCTTTTGCACCGCGGAGATTGCTCGAGTACCGGTAGGAGAAGACCTTCTTGGTCGAGTCGTCAACCCTCTCGGCAAACCTATAGATGGTCAAGCTGACTATAGAAGTGCGGGCATGAGTGAAAAAAGACTACTACTAAGACGCATCGAGTCGTCTGCGCCTGGAATTGTAGTTAGAAGATCGGTCGAGCAACCGATGCAAACTGGCGTAATCGCAATAGACTCCATGATACCTGTAGGTAGGGGGCAGAGAGAATTAATTATTGGTGACAGACAAACCGGAAAAACGTCGATAGCCCTGGACGCCATTATTAATCAAGTTGGCTCGAAAGTGATTTGTGTGTATGTAGCGGTAGGTCAAAGAGCATACACAGTGGGGCAAATTAAAGAAGCTCTAGAAACTACCGGAGCGCTTGCTCAAACAGTCATTGTAGCAGCGTGCGCCAACGAGTCTGCGGCTCTGCAGTACATCTCACCTTACGTTGGAGCTACTGTAGCAGAGCATTTTATGTATGAGGGTTGTGATACACTAGTTATTTACGATGATTTATCAAAGCAAGCCCAGGCCTATAGAGAGATATCTTTAATATTGCGTCGTCCGCCGGGACGAGAGGCCTACCCTGGGGACGTTTTCTATTTACATTCTCGCTTGTTAGAAAGAGCTGCGAAACTTGGAGCAGCGGCTGGAGGAGGCAGCATGACGGCATTGCCTATTGTCGAAACTCAGGCCGGAGACGTCTCAGCTTATATTCCAACTAATGTGATCAGCATTACGGATGGTCAAATCTTCTTGTCCAAAGACTTATTTAACGCGGGTGTCCGTCCAGCTATTGACGTTGGCCTGTCTGTCTCTCGCGTAGGGTCAGCAGCACAAATCAAAGCCTTGAAACAGGTAGCAGGAAAATTAAAGCTAGAATTAGCGCAGTTTGCTGAGCTGCAAGCCTTTTCGAAATTTGCCTCTGAACTAGACAATGTAACGAAGTTTCGACTGGACCGTGGAATGCGGCTTCGCGAAATGTTGAAACAGCCAAGGACAGCTCCTATACCTGTCGAAGAGCAGATAGCTATTATCTATGCAGGCACTAATGGCTATTTGGACGATTTATCTCTCGATCAAGTCGGTCCTTATCTAAAAGATTACAGAGAACGGGTTAGGCAAGCCTCTACATCTGATAAACGTCCGTACATCGACACGGTTCGAACTACCAAGGTCTTAGATGATGGCCTTCAAAGACTTTTGGCCGAGACGGCGCAAGAGGTATTGAAAAATTACGTGCGTAAATAAAAAATGAATGACTAACGAATAAAAAGCTTTTATATTGGAGACAGTAAGCGCGAAGCCATGGCGCTATCTTTCCGAGCTAGTTCCTAATCATTCCGTTCCGGTGCTGCTTCAGCCAATTCTCGGCTTTTGTGTAGTTTCCTGGAACTAGTTTTATAGCTCTTTTCCAAAAAACAGACGCTAATTCAAACCATTCGTTGGCTAATAGATAATGTCCCCGATCGCTGCACTCTGTGCCCAAATAGTGACATAACACAGCCACATTATTCCATGCCTGGGGTAAAAGGCCATTAATGGCAAGAGCTGCCTTGAAGTATTTCATGGCTTTTTTGTAGGCACCATTATTTTGCAAAATAAGTCCTATGTTGTACCATATGTAACTCCTTTGAATAGGGTCTTCCTCTTCGCAAATAGCGTTATAATAGTTCTGAAGCGCCTCCAAGTAAGAGCCTCGAGTTTGGGCTTCCATGGCAGTCCTATAGTAAAAGAAAGATTTTTTGGCCTCGCTACTCGTTGGCAGGGAACCCAGCAAAACATCTGCTAAAGACACGAAAGTCTTGTCTATAAAATTGTCACTCCCAAGCATCAGTTCGCCTTTTTCCAAACACCTTGCCTAAACATCCATTACATTGTTGCACCTGATAGAAGTTATTGTTATTTTAAGAATGGGTTGGCAAACAAAAGAGAAAGAGCCACAACCAAACCATAAATAGTTAAGGACTCCATAAACGCTAGCCCCAATAAAAGTACACCTCGTACTCTACCTTCCGTCTCCGGCTGACGAGCAATCCCGGCTAAGGCATCACCAGCAGCAGAACCTTGGCCAATACCAGGACCTATTGCCCCCAACCCAACAGCAAACCCTGCAGCCAGAGCCGAGGCTGCTGCTACTAATTCCGTTGATCCATTAACCATAGTTTAGTGCTTGAACATTAGAATACTGGGTCTCAATAAACCACCACTTAAGCAATGAACCGGTTTTATTCCTGGGCTTCTTCTATGTAGCCGGCAG